ATTTAACAACACTGTTTTGTTTTATTTTCTTCTTTAGGTCTACCTTCTGCTTATGGCAAGTGATACTTGCTTTTCACTTACTGTGGTTATTTCAAGTTTCCTTTAAAAATTATTTTCATAATCAAATAGATATAAAGAAATATTAAGAAAATAAGTATGCAGAAAGTATGCGGCTATGGCCAAAATTTTAAAGACGATGTAAAAATAACTGAAGTTTGAAAAATATTATACATACCTACTGAGTCAACAGTAAGTGCCTACTATGAGCATGCCATTCATTTAGCCACCATGAATGACAGAAAAGGATATTCAAAGAAATGTAAATATGTCAGAAGAAAAGGAAATTACTTCTAAATGAGGTAATTAAAAAGGATTCATAGACAAGGTGGCATTTGAGCTAGGACTTTATAGGTATGATTTAGACATGTAGAGACAGGGAGAGCATTTGAAGAGGACAAAAGCATAATATAGGCCTGAGTGGTGGCATGTTTCCAATCTTTATTGTGGTGGTGGTTACATGGGTGTGTATGTAACGTACACATATAATGAGTGCACATTATTATATGTAAGTTTTTCCTTAATAAATTTGATACCGTATATTTGACCTGTGCAATGAAAAAGTCAATGAGGTTTCAGGCTTGACTAGTTTGGGAGGGGGAGGTGAATATAATAAAGAGAAAATAGAAATCACAATTTAAAGATCACAATAAATTTTTAAGAAATACTGTTAGCTATTACACGAAAATAGCAGTGCTATACTTCTATATAATAATTTCATTTCAGAGAGAGAACTTACCTGAATTAAGGCTTACCTATTAAAATTAAATGTACTGTTCCCCCTTACCCCTCCAAAGGAGTACATTAATAGATGGCACTCATCCCTAACAAAGTAACAAAGAATAGACAGAAGTACCCACACATTTGTGTGCTAATGACACCTGATAGAATTTAGCAAAATAGTTTTAAGATTGTATTCAATACTTAGATCCCAAACGGTAAGCAATTTAGAAATAACTGTCTTAAAATTTATGTTTTAACATTTAACTGTTTTCGATGACCTAACCTCTTAAAATTAGTTATTAATTATTAAGTACATTTAAAGTGGCTTTTATCATGCATAGTAAAAACAATGCCATTAACAAGTCTTTATTTGTTGGAACTTTATAATGCCATTCTCAATAAAAACAATAACTTGACCATAAATTCAAATTTAAAACATGAAATAATTAAGGTTACAGAAAAGCATCAAGAGTCTAGAAAAAAGAAGATACTCTTCTGCCATAAATTAAAGCTTTGAGGCCCACAGAAACCTTTATGCATCCTTAATATTTTACTAAGGAAATATAAGCCTTTGTTATACCAGTGAGTTACCACTAGATTTTGATGCTCCAGAAAGGTTATACTGAAAGCCAAAACATAATGTGGAGAATTTTAGAGTTGAAATGGCACTCAGCTCAAGTACTGTAATTTTCAAATTGGTGTTCTATGTATAGTAAGTCAGTTCTGGGAACTGAAGTGAAACAACGCATAATGAAACTAACAGGCCGATTGACATAAAGTTCCTTCAGCAACGTTGTATGCATACGGCATTGAAGGAAACCTCATTGGAGGACCTGCTGTAATTATATTTTAGATGTTAACAGGTTGGCCTTGAGAAAATAGGCTCTCGGGACAGGAAAATTTAGAAACGCTTCAATAACCTTCCCCTGCGTATTTACATGCATATAAGCATGGTAGTAATGGTTTTGAGAAGCCCTGCAGTTAAAAACAAATCAAATGTTAAACCCCAGATTTAACCCAATGTGCACTCAAATTATTTGTCATGGAACACTGTGAAATTTGCCATGGATCCTATGAAATTCCCTTAAACAGATGATGAAACTGATGCCTAGAGAGATCACACACCTGGTTAGCAGAAGAACAAAGGACTTGAATGAAATCTCTCATTCTCAGGCCAGAATTTTTTCCACTAATTTAACCACAAAATAGGACTCCTTTGACTTAATATAGTCAAACATTTAATTAACATTTAATTTACATTTAACATTTTGGTTATGGAGCCACATTTTCTGCTGTGTTAACTTAGGTGTTTTTTAATTCTTCAGTACTTGGGTTCCTAATAATCAAGCTCACCTGGAAATTTGCTACTGTTTAGCAATTCTGGGGAGTTAGTTCAGAGTAGCAGCTGAAAGTAATCACTAAAAAAGCATTTGTACTACAACTGGTGTTAATTTACTCTCGTTATAGCTTGTCAGCTCAACTAAATCACTGCGTTATCAGGTGCTGAGTTACTTAGTTAACATGTTATTCATAGCAAAATTAAGATCTCATGTCTGCAAAGAAAATAGCTGACCAACAACATCGAAATTGAGAGATTTTTTGTCTTTCTGTAGTTCAGGGTTTGTCAGGCAAACTTAGATTCCTTAACTCTTCTGTAATTATTTTTAAAATGTTTTAATTGCTGTTACTACAATCTCCAAATCAGATTTTCCCAATCTTCATATTTCTCAAACTCCAAAGAACTCTAAGATGGTGTAAGAATAATCAAAATACAATTTACTTAGCTTTAAATAAAGTATAGCTGTGTGCCACTATGCCTCCCCACTCAGGGTAGGCTAGGAGAGTGAACAAGTAACTAATGTTTCAACTTTAAAAGGCTTAGGAATCAAAAGTGATCATTGTTAACAACTTCCTTACGACGAATCTGACTTCCTCTAATAAACTTGTGCAGTCCTGTCCAATCCCCACAAGGATCATTAACCATGGCTGGCATTCATTCTCCACAATATTAAAAGGATCCAAGAAATTAATGAGACTGCACCATGCCTTGATTCGCCAACAAAGGGGTTACCCCGCGCGCTTTTATTGCACAGGTGGGACCTCCACCCCAACCTTGCACACTGCTTGGCCCCAACGCAGGAGGCTCGGGACCAGCCGCCAGACGCCCTGGCCCCGCCTACAGCCACCCCTGCCCGGGGCCGCCCTCCCGCCTTTGCCCGGCCCGCGGGTCCCCGCGCAGCTCCCGCTTCTCCGGAAACCAGAAAGCGGTCGGCGGGCTTCGCGGCTCCAGGCGGGGCCAGGGCGACAACACTCCCGACGCCACAGCAGCCTGACCCACGGGTTGTCCCCGCGACTCCGGAACGAGTCAAGCCGAGGAAGCCGCTTAGGGCCACCGGCCGGCCTCGCGAACGCTCTGGGGGCAGGGAGGCTGTTACCTGCCGTGGGCTCGGCCGCTCCACGCCAGCGCCGCTCTCCTGGCAACCGCGGCAGCTTCCCGGAGGCCGAAAGCCGAAGGGCCTAGTGACAGCTCCCAGCGTGCACCGCGCTGGCGCCCGCACCCACGCCGGCGTTGACGTCGAAGGCCCTGGATCTCCGCCCCCGGTCCGTTTCTTTACTCCCAGTGCTAGCTGACCACAGCGCCCTCAAGCGGACTGTCAAGGAAGCGGCCCAAGGCCACCAACTACGACTGTGGGCCTGGAAAGGGATACCGCAGGTGTTCTCAACTTGCGAGAGGCAGCCCCATATTGATAGAGTTTGAAGGGAATTGAAAACAGTTTATAAATGTTATTTAAATAATGAAGTATAATTTAAATAATTCTCTTGTATTTCATATGAAAACTTGAGGCCCAAAGAGTGTAGAAGACCTATGAATTTAGGAGACAAATAGTTATCAGATTTGGAACTGTTTTGAATCTAGAATTCTCTAATCACATAGTTACTACAAGGAGGATTGCACTGTTTTGCCTAAGCCATAGGGTCAAAAAAAAATGTTTTAGGAATGGGTGACTATATATAAAATATAACAAGTTTTAAAAACAATCACACTAATTACGAAGAGCCCGCTGTGCTAAAAATGTTATATGTCAATATAATATATCAGTACTTAAGCACTTAATCGCCTTGAGACAGGTGGGAGATATGAAAAGTTGAAATCACGGTTATTTGAGGTGGCAGAGTAAACTTAGTTCTCTTAACTGTATTGTAGAACTATTGTGATGGAAACAGGAATTTGTGAAGCAACACAATAAACTAAAAACTCCAAATACCAATTTTAGAAAAATCGTCTTAAACTAGTATCTCTAGAGAAGTGTTTTTATTTATTTGGAAAATCTTCAAATGAATAGGTTTAGTGTGTGGTAATTATGACCTTAAAATCATAAAGATCAATAAACACTATTTTCTGCATACAAGCCATCATTGTTTACGTTTTTAAAAATTAAAAGCTTCTTGTTTTTAAAGAATTCTTATAATTCTGCAGAGGCCTTGTGTTTTAATATTTTCCATTATAAATATTTATGTTATACGACTTTTGTGTCAAACTTTCCATAACTACTAGTAGTAATGAGGTTAAGACTTCTTTGAGTCAGTTTTTATTTCTGCAGAAGTGGAAATGTACACAATCATTCCCATCTTCCTTTTTTCAAAGGTTATAGGAATGGTTAATCCTGTGATTCATGAAACTGGATTTAACCACTCTTCAGCATAGGGAGCAGAAAATTTACAGTTTTGCAACTGTTTCCATCTGGGAGCGATCGTGTCTACATTGAGAAGCAATGCCAAGTCAATGCTGGACATCTGACGCCTGACGGAGGACAACTACCAAAGGACTGACTGACCATAGCTCTTAAAAAAGAGACCGTAATTTATAAAAACAAAAGATAAAGTGGGTTTGGAGCGGAGAATTCTGCTCTCATGACTCCTGGGGGCAGTGGCAGCCTGTATCGCCTCCCTCTATCATTTTCCTCTCTTCCAGCCTCACCCTTCTCTACGCCAACCGTAGGCGTGCACTCCGGGTTTGAATTTTAAGGTCATTTCCAGGGAGACTAAAACATCACGCCCGTAAGAAACAAAGTGGAAGGGCGGTTTGGATCTCGCCGCCGACACTTCTCAGAACTCATTCCATAAAGCGGGATTTGAAAAAGCTCACGCCCCTCCCAGGTCGAGTCCTCTCGGAGGCGCGCGTCTGCCCGGCAGGCGGCGCTGTGGGCTGACAGGCTGTTTCAGCCTAGTGATAGGTCCGGGAGTCCCACGCCGCCGCCGCCGCCGCCGCCCCTGCTGCTGCTGCTGCTCCTTCTCCTGCTACTGTTCTTCTCGCTCGTGCTTGTTGCTCTTAGTCCTAGGGGCCCTGTTCGCCAGTCTCCGGCTGGGCGCCCGCTATGGCGGAAGCGGCAGCGGCGGCGGCGACTCGCGTCTTCCTGGAGGTGCGGAGACAGCTGCAGAGCGCGCTGCTGATCCTGGGGTAAGGCCGGGGGTGGGAGTGTGGACCCCGAGGCGCGGTGCCTAGCTCGCTTTTCTGCTGCATGGGGAGTCTCCGCCTCCCTTGGAAGGACGGATTTTTTAGTTTATTTCCTGTTGCTTAGAACCCTCTTGATTATTCAAAGTGGAGTGCCACCCCCCGCCACCCCATTGACAACGTAGGCATCACCTGGGAGCTTTTTAGAAATGCAGTCTCAGCCCCACACTGGACATGCTGAATCAGAACTTATTCAGATGCACATTAAAGTTTGAGGAGCACTGATGTAAAACACGGATGACAATGCCTGGCGTTTCCAACAAAACAGTGCACAAAAAAAATGCCTTGTCTACTTCTTTTCAGGATCCTCGCTATCAGATCAGTTCCAAAGTGAGAGCTTCCTGTTTTGTAAATAAACTCGGTGTGCTTTTTCTTCCCCAAACTGCTGAGAAACTGGCAGTCGTTCAAAACGTGTGCCCGGTGAATGACTAACAAAAGTTGCAGACTTATTGGAGTTCATTCTTTTATTCATATTCCGAGTTTCAATGAGAAGTCTGCACACGACTTGTTTGTTTTGTAGTATGTGATTCCCTTGTGACCACTATTTCAAATACAATACAGTGGAAAACAACTCTCTTGTTTGTTTTGTAGTATGTGATTCCCTTGTGACCACTATTTCAAATACAATAAATTAAATGTTAAAATTCTTAAAAAATTATTACACAGCGCCACTCTGAGGTAGATTGATGCTTAGCTTTCTCTTTTTCCCTTAAATCAGCCAGGTATCTGTGGCAGGCAGCTTTGGATTTGGCATGAGAACTGAATTCAAATTCTAATTTCTTCACAAGGGTATATTCATTTAATCTGATTTTTTTCAATTGTAAAATGGGGCTATTTATTACTCTTCTTTCTATTTCTCAAATCATGAGTTCCGATAAGTATCTCCAATTCCACCTTGTAGGGTTATTAGGAGCCCAAACCTTACACAAAACCAAACAAGACAACCTCCCTACTTCCCCCTATCAAAGGGGCCCTTCACAGTTCTCCTGGATTAGTCTCCCTTGTTTAAGCAAGTTGAGAAACCTAACTTTGCTAGACTACCGACTTGTCCCTGGAGATCTTTGACTGTTAAGCTGTTATCATCAGTCAATTCTCCCTACTTCTAAAAGCAACCACTTTTGATTTCATTCAATAAAGTTTAGTTTTGCCATTTCTTCAACTATGTGTAAATGGATTCATACAGTATGTACTTTTTGGTTTCTGGCTTCTTTCCTTCAACAATTTTTTTCGAGATTCATGTTTTATCATTGCATATATCAAAAGTCAATCTTTTTTTTTTTTCCCTGAGTTGTTTTCCACTGTATGAATATATGACAATTCATTTATCCATTCTTCTATTGCAGGATATTTTGTGTGTTTCTAAAGCTTGCTTATTATGAGTAAAGCTGTCATAATGTTATATAAGTCTTTTTGTGGATATACACTTTCATTTCTCTTGGGTGATTACCTAAGAGTGAAATCGCCAAGTCATATGGTAGATGGGGGCTTTATGATAAACTGCCAAGCAGCTCTCCAAAGTGGTTGTATGATTTTTCACTCTTGCTAAAAAAAAAAATGAGAATTCAATTGCTTCACATTCTTGTCTGCATTTAGCATTATCAGTCTTAATTTTAGCCATTGTAGTGGTATAAAGTGGTATCTCATTGTCATTTTAATTTGCATTTCCCTGATTAAAAGTGCTGAGCACCTTTTCATTTGCTTTTTGATTATTCATGTATGTTCCTTGGTAAAATATCTTCTAATTTTTTGGCATTAAAAAATCAAGCTATTTGTCTTATTGTTGAATTTAAAGAGTTCTTTATATAGTCTGGAAACAAGACCTTTCTCATTTATGCCTTGTGTGTGTGTATGTGAATATTTTCTCCCAGTCTGTAATTTACTTTTTATTTTCTTAATAGCGTTTTTTAAACAGAAGGATATACAATTTATTGATTTTTTTTTTTTTTTTAGTGGTTAGTATTTTTTTGTGTCTTAAGAAATCCCTGGCTACCTCAAATTTGTGAAGATTTTTTTTCTGTATTTTCTAGGAGTCACATAGTTTTACCTTTAGGTCAGTGAAAATATCAAATTCATTTTTTACATTTGGAGAGAGGTAGAGATCAAAGTTCTTTTTTTTTTCCTGTGAGGATATCCAGTTTTTCATTGCCATTAGTTAAAAAGACTGTCATTTCTCCCACCGAAATAACTCAATGTCTTTGTCAGAAATCAGTTGATTATACTGTTTGCATGGTATATCTTTTTTACCCTTTTGCTCTCAATCTATGTCTTTATAAAATTTTTGTAGCATCTACTGGGTGGAGTTTTTTAAATCCATTCTGACAATCTTTGTATTTTAATTAGAATTTTTAGTCTATTTACAGTTAATGTAAATTATACAATTGAGTTTTATTCTTGTTCCTAATCTTAAAAGAAATGTTTCTAGCATTTTACCATTAGGTACGATGAAGCTGACTTTTGGTTAATCTGTTTAGTAGATTGCATAGTTTCTTTTCTTAATTGAGTAAGAGTTTTAATCATGAATAGATATATTTTCTGTAATGATTTCTGCATATATTGTGATGGTCATATTTTTTTATTTAATCTTTACATCTGTGAATGCATCAGAAAAATCTATTTATGTTAAGCCATCTTAGCATTCCTGGGATAAACCTTGGCCATCCATTTGTTCAATCCACGGATATTTACTGAGTTCCTAGTCTAGTGTCAAAAACTCAAAATTCTAAGTGCTGGGTATACAGCCGTGAACAGTAGTAGCAACAACAAAGACAAAAATACTTGCTCTCATTGAGTTTACTGTCTAATGGAGGCATTGGACAAAAAAATACACAAAATAAATGAAATATATATTACTTTAAATAAAGATAAGTACCTAGAAAAAATAAAACAGAAAAGGGGACTGGGAGAAAAATAACAACCAAATTTCTCCAAATAAGAAAGCAACATTTGAGTTATAAACTGAGAGAAGTAAGGTTTGGAACCAAAAGATAACCCGGTAGAAGACTGAGCATTTCCCTGTAAGTGCGACGGAACGCCTAGTTCAGAGAGAGATGCTGATGCGCTGTGGGAGCACATAGCAAAGGGTCTTACAGTGAGTAGTGTGCTAGTAAATGTTTAACAGCCTGCTTTACAAAAAGCAAAGCAACCAAACAAAAACCTCCCTGATTTGCCACATTTACTGGTTGCTATTCTGTAAATACTTTCACCATGGATGATGTCAGGCTACCAAAGTGAGGTCAACTGGTTTGCAAAACGCCTGGAATTTTAACAACTGGCTCTAGCATGTCATTGGGTCTTATACGCCATTGAAAGAACTTTAGCTTATACTCAGAATGAGATGTGAAGTTATTGGATAGTTTCAAGCAGTGTGATACCTGAAAGAATATAAGTGAATAGTGAAGAAAGCCTCAAATTATAAAGAGTGCTGACAATTAGGGTTTCTAAAACTTCAAAAGTTTTAGAGAGGTCCTTTGAGACCATGTAAATACCCTTTTCCTCATCAGACTTTCATTTTATTCATTCATTTATTTACATCAGTATGGACCCTCATAGTCCTGTTTTTTTGTTTGTTTTTTCCCCCCAGTGGATTACCGTTTTTCTCACATTACACCAGATGTGGCCAGTAAGGGTCTTTTCAAGATGAATTCTGTCTTTTTTGACATGTCTTTATCACTTATTGATTTATTCTTTGTTGCATAGTAAGATATTCCAGACTCATCTCATTTTTTTCCTGTTCTGGTCCTGGATGTAGTTATTTTTCCAAAGAACCTTGTTTTGTTTTGTTTTAGTTTATTTATTTTTAACTGGAAAATGACCTTTAGAAACCAAGGTCTGGGCACAAAGTTTGCTTGTTACTATTGGGCTGTCACTTCTCCCAGGCCCATTGGTGGACAGAACTAGAAGAATGTATGTGTGTGGCATATGTATGATGTTTATGTATGAGTGTGTGTGTGTGTGTGTGTATGTTTGTATCTACATCATACATACACATGTATACATATACATCTATATTTATTACTGTGTCTGTTTATATACATTTAAAACCATGACTTCACACAGATATTTCCAATTCTAATCTATCACCATAGGATCCATTCTGGTTTCCTCTTTGTAACTCTGTTCTCCCACAGTGAGAATCCTGGTTTTCATTATCCTCATGACATATATTTACATGGTCAATTCCCTATGTAACTAATTCAGTGGCATCCTTCGCTACTTCTTTTCCTCCTACTCATTGTTGACACTCCTTACTTGCTCACGCTGTTATGGACTAAATGTTTGTGTCCTCTCGAAATCTGTATCTCGAAACCTTAAGCCCCACTGTGATGATATGAGGAGATGGAGCATTTAGTAGATACTTAAGTTTAGATGAGGTCATGAGGGTGGAGCCACCGTGATGAGATTAATGCCCTTCTAAGAACAGACACCAAAGCTTCCTCCCTCTGTGAGAAGACAGTCAGAGGGTGGCCATCTGAAAGCCAGGAAGGGAGCCCTCAATAAGGGCCAAATCTGCTGGCACCTTGGTCTTGGACTTTCTAGCCTCCAGAACTGTGAGAAATAAATGTCTGTTGTTTAAACCACCTGGTCTGTGGTATTTTGTTATAGCAGCCTGAGCTGACTAAGAGAGGCTCTGAAACCCCCCAACTCCATTTCAGATTCCCTCCTCACCCCTCTTGGGATCTGACATCCCTGCTGAGTGGCCCTCCTTAGCTCATAGGCTATATGGCAGATGCCCTCCTCACCCTGTTGGGTTTTTCACATAAACCCCAGGCCACCGTGGTTCTCCCACCATTGCATAGATGCCTACCTTGCTCAGCCTTATGTGATAGGCTGAGTTTTTCAGGAATAAGAAAGGGAAGAAGAGTGATAAGCCAGAGATGGGTTGGGAGAGGGGCCTTAGGATCCCAGTAGTATCCTTTAGGACACTTCCAAAGTGCCAACCGTGTAGTCCAATTTGAAAATCACTGAAGTAGTATAATGGGAAAATTGTGTATCTTAGAGCAGTGGTTGACAAACTATGGCCCACGGGCCAAATCTAACCTGCTGTTTTGGTACACCCTATGAGCAAAGAATGGATTTTACATTTTTAAAAAGGATTGTTGGAAAAGAAAACTACAAAGTAGAATATGCAACAGACATCATATATGGCTTGCAATTTTTTACATATAAAAAATTTTCTTTGTATAAAAATTTTCTGATTTCTGCTTTAGAGGATTATTGCTTCTTAACCATAATTTCTTAAAACTGGACTTTTGACTCAAGAGTTTGCGGCTGTCTTCCTGGAGAATTTCAGGTTCTTTGATATTCTGTGTTGCCAATTAAATGCAGAACCATATATTTTGAAAAGAAACTAGCCAGAAAGTAGTCTTAAGATTTTCTGAGACTAATGAAGAGAACTAACCAAGATTCACGCCTGAACACATGCTATGACTTTCGGGCTTAGATGACCTTTATGTAGATGGCCCGCATTCTGCACGTAGGTGACATGAGGTAGTTGGCCTGCCCCTGTTGTCTGCACTTAAAAGGGAGTCAGGGTGCTTTGCCACTGTAGTTACAATGCTAAGCATATTTCAGCTTCAGATGAGAATCATTTCTATATGTGTTTATCCCCCTCTGTACTTTCGATAACTAGCAAGTGGACAGGGCCTGTGGTTTCTTCTTTATCGCCTATACTAAGTTATTTGGGATTGTAGTGAACCGGATTAGTATGTCCTATTTGCTTGGTATTCATACTTCTTAAACTGTTTTCTTAGTTACTTTTTTTATTATTAAAATTGACAAGAAAGTTTTTTTCTTTTGTACTTTTTCACATAATCTCAGTCTCTTTATCAAAATCCTGTATATCAAATAACAATACTTCAATTCACTGTAAGAAAATAAAACATCATTGTAATGCTAGTCTCAGAAGCAAGAATATTTTACTCACACTCCCATTCATTATTCAAATAACACTTAGTGCTTGACCTGAGATAGTCTCTATACTCTCCCATGTGCCTCCATAGTACCCTGTATTTATCATGAATAAGTACAGTCTAGTTTTCATTGATCCCTTGAGCATTTCTCTTTACTTGGCAATCCCCTGTTGGGGATTGATCCCTCAGTTATTCCTGTTTACTTGCTTGTCCCCTACTGAGAGGGAGGTGGGTACAGAAACTATCTTGTTAATTATTTTATTCCTAGTGCCTGGCACATTATAGAACTTACAAAAGATGTGCTGAATGAATGAATGAGTGAGTGAAAGGATATGCAAACCATGCTAGGGTCAAGGGATGCAAAGATGAATAAGCCACTGTCTGATGCTGTCTTGGTGAATTCTCTTGCAAAAAAATATTTCAGAGAACAAGTACATGATATTTGACAGGCCAGCATTAGATTGTGCTGGTTTGAAGAAGCTGAAATTGGGGAGACTAGTGGGAGGAAATGGGGCGCATGAGGAAATGGAATGGCAGGCTGTGCACGCAGAATGGCTCTGGGAGCAGCCTCAGGAAGGTCCAGGCTGAAGTAGATGGAGGAAGTACTAGGATAGAAGAGTCAGGACTCAGAAACATTAGCAATGGGGGAAAAGTGCACATTTTAAAATGTATCATTACCATAAAAAAAGAAGCAAGAATAAAATATATGTCCTAGACCTTTCATGTTACAGTAGTAGTATAATGAACTCTGTCTGACCTGATCTAAATCTAATTTCCCTTACTGCTGGTTCACTGTTATTTTTCTGGGATTAGTTGAAGAGAAATGGAGAGATCTTTGTCCACTTTTGTTTCTTTCATCATGTGGGTTTCATCAGTGAGAAGTTTTGTGTGTGTGCTTTATTTTTAATTACCAGAGAGCCAGAAGAAGCAGGTTTGCCCATGGATATTTCTGTAACGCCATCATCGCTCCAGGTGAAAACCTCTGAAGGCTGCACAGAGATCTGGCTTCCAGCAGAGGTCAGGCTTATACCTTCTTCTTGCCGTGGACTACAGTATCTGCCTGGAGATGGGCTGCACCTGCGGCTGCAGACACGGACAGGAGTCAGCACCAGTAAGTACTACCAGCATTCCTGTTCCTGCACTTAATTTTTTGTTCTAAATCAAAGGGGACTTTTCCTTTGAATAGTTAAACTTTTCCCAGGTGAAAATAACTCCTCATCAGTGGCATGGAAAGAGCTGGGGGTCAAGAAGATCTAGGTTCTTGGCCAGCTGTGCCAGTTATCAGCTGTGTGTAGTTGAATATGTTACATAACTTTTCTGAGGCTTTGTTTCTTTTGGGTATTTTTTTTTTTGTATTTTTTTTCCATAATAAACTTTATTTTTTTAGAGCAGTTTTAAGATCGCAGCAGAATTAAGGGGAAGGTACAGAGCTTCCCCATATGCCTCCCGCTTTGTTTCTTTAATTATAAAATTACCTTGCTCACAGAGCTGATGTGAGATTAAATCAGATGGCAATTATGCAAGACCTGGTTGGTTTTAAAGCATTACAGAGAAACTCATTAATTCAATAAATGTTTCTTTATACTATATGCTAGGGATTGACCTAGGTTCTTGGGATGCAGAAGTGAACAAGCTATGATGGTCTGTGCCCTCATGGCACTTACATTCTAATGAGTAGGAATAGATAATGACCAAATTAAAATTACTTGGATACAGAGAAAAGTGCTATGGGCAAAGTAAAGCAGAATAATGGGATAGGGAGTGACTGGGTTGGGTGGAAGGTGGTCAGGAAAGGCCATTCTGAGGAGGTGATATTTGACCAGAGAACCAAGTGATAGAAATGATCCTGCCCATGTAGAGACACTACGTAGAGAGAACAGTACAGGTAAAGATTCTGAAATTGAGTTTGATGCATAATTTGATTTTGATTGATGTGCCTGTCATATTTCCAATATTTTATTACTGGCACATTGATTCAGTAACAGTAGAAACGTTTCTCAGAATAATTTTTTGAAAATTATTGGTTTATCGTATCTCCTACCATGTAAGTAATATACTTTGGAGCATTAAAAATGATGTAAAAGGGGAAACAGAGGCTGTAACAGACCAATGAGATGTTCATTATCAAATAAGGATTTTAGTTCTTCCAGCTATGAGACTTCACTGCTGCCCCATTTATACTAAGGCTTTCATCTGAGTTACATGGAGCCTAGAGGTGGGGTCACCAGGATTGTTCTGAAGAGCCATTTAAGAGATATGGAACATATTTCAGTTCCCTTGAGTCTCTATGCTGACTTTTGAAAAGAAAGAGAAGATAGACGGAGCTTCTCTCCTTTTTTTGCTGGAGGGTTAATTTTTTCTCAACTACTAGATTAATGAATAAGTAGTCTGAGTTGGGTGGAGTTGGTTTCAGGGACAAGGATAAGAAAAAGAAGTATGTAGTTTAAATGGCAGAAGATAAATACTAAGAATAACTGTTGGAGTATTCATGGAGAGAAGAATGGGTCACCAAGATGAGAAATGAACTAACGAACTCTCTGAGTGTACCTAAGAGTGGGCAGAGGAAGCATTGTTTTAGGGAAGAAGCTGTGGGAGCCTGGATCTTGTGAAGTCATCACCACTTCTTTAGCCATGATGAACAGCAGTAACCACGGCAGGAATGTTTTGTCTATCTGGAATCTGGGCAAGGCAGGCATAGAAGCCACAGTGGGATGTTTTCAGATCTGCTGCTAGTTTTCTGGGATGTGATTTTTGGTCTCATACTAAGGAGGTATAGAAACCTTCCAGAGACAGAATTGGTTTGTTGCTTACCCATATTCTGTAAAAGTTAATATACAAATAGCAAAACTTGAACTATTTAAAAATTTTATAATCAGCAAACATTATTTTTTGGTTTTAACTGGAGGACAAAATAAATTGACTGCTGTGTATTGGTTTGCATATTGTTTGCATTCATTAGTCTCCTGTTTCTTTATATTTTTAAAACATTTTATTCAAATACCTGAAAACGAAAGCTTTCAAAGCTGTTCTGCAGTGCGTGAAAGAGTATGCAAAGTAGATTCCTCAGTACTTAATTGCTTTAGTGCTTTCCACATAATAGGTGGTGAATAAATATTTGCTGAATGAATAAATGTCAGATAGGTGCATACTGATGTAAACTTGAATCAAAATATATTGTAGGAAGTGAGTTTTGAAATTTTTAGCATTCATTTGTGATTCGGGGTTTTTAAAAAGTTTATGTTTCAACTAGAAGAACGTTCTTCTAAAGACCCTAGTAAACATATGTTATACTCTTTAGAACGTAATGTAGATCAGATTATGACCTTTCACATGGCACTGGCTACAGTAAAATCTGATACAGCACAGGCATTAGGTTCATCCCCAGGTGGCAGTGCTCTCCCATGATGCCACTAGGGCAGAAAGTTCTGACTTGAACCTGAGCCGGTAGATCATGCTGGGTGACCAGCAGAGGGGAGTATTTCACTGAAAATTTTATTGGTTCCGAAAAGAATATTTTGGATGTTTTACCCAGGCCTATTTAATTTTACAATACATACAAAGTAGCATAAACCAAATTCAAATTGTTTGATTCTAATAGATAAGACCTCGTTTCTTTAGATTTTTTAATAGACATATTTCTGGTGGGGTTTTTTGGGGGGGAGATGGGGTGATGAAAAAATTTGTCTTTCTTATGAATAAAGTAATGGAAATTAAGAGAACATACTGCCTTATGCTGCACTTCACATAAATAATGTAGAAAATATATGTTTTTCTACAGCTTTAATCAGAAATTGTGTTTTGCACTCAGAAGATTGAATTCTTCTTAGGAGCCATTCCATTCCCAGGAACTGGTTTAATAAAGACCAGTTTCAAGATTCATTTTGTTTGTTCATACTGGTAATATGTCAGAGTGGACATAAATCTTGTTTAAATCAAATTAAACTTAAATTTAAGAGCTTTATTTACCAGCAGTGACGCAGATGAAAAAGTCCACCTAACACATAGCAGAGAAAAGCTAAAGATAGTGCAGCTCTGTGTAGTTAGCTTGATGTGAAAGAAATAGACCCTTTTCTCTCATCCTTAATGTTGGTATTTATGGAATGAGAGAAGTAACACAACAGCATGTTACATGGGTAATCTACGGCCTTACCTAGCTCTGAAACACATAGCAAAATCTGTTGGTTTGAAAACACTTCACAATATTTGCTTCTGGTTGAGTCATCAGATAACACTAATTAAATGTATCCTTTTGGGTAGACCATAAACAGTGTTTATCGATGGTAATTTATTGTGGCTATTAAACTTTTATAAATATATTAACATATTTGTCGCAATCCTAAGATTTGCTATTTTATTGATTTCCTTTAGAACTGATTTCAGTGTTTAATCAAAACTCACAAGCCCAAGACTGTTGCACATTTTATTGCCAATCCTGTGGTGAAGTCATAATAAAGGACAGGTAAGGAATGTATTTGACACTGATTAATTCTGTACCTGGCAATGGTTTTCTCTTTTTTCTATTAGAATTTTTGAAGTAATTGCCGAGGGAGCAGTATATGGCCTTAAAATGAGAGCCAGCTTAATGTCACTTTGAGCAAAATCAACCATAAAGCTCTCCAGTAATCACAGAGTAGTTAGGTCTTCTCAAGGTGACAGAGGGGAACAATTAGATGCTGGCTTTGAGGGCGGAAGGCTTATCTTGGTGGAAGAGCCTGGGTTGATCACTGTGGCACTTCCTGAAAAGAGACCTGGGACCAATTGCATGTTTTATCCATCATGTTGGTAACTGAGGTTTTCTACATTAAGTGAATTTTCTAAATAACAGAAGCTTTTGCAGCAGTTCAGACTTTTTATTTGAACTATTTCTATTAGTGCCTTTCTAAAATCCATTTCCTATTTCTCTGCTTATTAAAACAGCCTATAGAGCACAAATTAACCTTTTCTTGATGATAAGGTTAATCTTACAACCTGTTCTTGCAATGTGCTATGATTACCCTATTGAGACAGAAATGGCTCTTTGCTGCATTCTTTTTGTTCCCAAGTTGTCCTTTTAAATTATTTTTCTATCTGCTCCCTTTCTCCTGTCAGCTTCCTTGTTTCGTGGGTATAAATCCTTCCCCCTGAATTTTTAGCTTCTGATCACTCATAGGCTGGAAAGACAGATGAAAACCTTATTATTTGTGAATGATATTTAAAGAAGGAATTTAGAGCTCTTTGTTAGATGAATTTCCTCTGAGACAAGTGCCTGAGATTTAAATGTGAATGGGTCCTTTTCCATCAGAAACCTGCTCCTCTTCCAAGGCCCCTTGTCTCAGTGCATGCCAAACCTCTACCTGCGTCCTCAAGGTAGAATCCTGGTGGTATCGCTTTCCGTTCCTCCCTATCCTTCGTATGTAGTCAGTCACCAGGTACTTTTGCTGTTTCCTTCCCCGCATTGCTCACGTAAGTCCACTTTCTTCCACCCCAATGCCACTACCTCAGTCAGGCCTACTGTCTTCTCACCTAGTAGCACTTGTTGCCAGCTCCTTATCTGCTTCCCTTTCCTCTAGGTTCGCCCTCATCTGACCATTTCTACACTACTGACTGTTAGATGCAGCTCGCTCCCCTGTTCAAACCTTTCCATGGCCTCCCATATTTTTCAAGATAAATTCCAGACCTTAGCATGCCATGCTAGGTCCTTTACGAGTTTGCCTCTGTTTTCCTCTCCACCCTTATATTTTAGCCCTCCTTACCCAACCCTCTTCCTTCCCCCACAAAACAACACACTGTTATTTACACACATTCTGTGCACAGCTCTAATGATCAGCCTGTGGTCCCCAAGTCTCTCCATGCTTTTCGCCACCCTAGGATTTAATGAAAGCTGCCCTCTCCCTTGGAATGCACCCAATAACCTTCTTTCTCTCTGGTTAGCTACTAAATTCACCTGATAGGACATCTCCTGTTGGGCGCCTTCCCTGAACACTGGGTTGGTTTATGTGTTCCTCTAAGGTTTACTTGTCTTTCTTTCCAATTAAGCTATAGGCTCTGGGGGTGAGGATAGTCTTTTTAATTCCTGTATTCCTTATCCCCATGTATTTAGAGTACAATATAGTATAGTAGCTAGTAGTACAGACTCAGAAGCCAGACTGTCTGGGTTTGCATCCACCATTTACTAGCTGTGATCCTGGGCAAGTTACTAAACTACTCCATGACTCAATTTCCTTGTTACAAATATATAGATAACAATAGGTTGTCAAGCAAATTAAGGTTGTTTGGAGGATTAAATGAGTTAATTGTTTATAACAATGTCTACACATGGTAGGCATTCAGTATGTGGTAGCTACTGCTGTTGTTATTCTTATCATCATCATCCCCAGCATCAGGCACAGTGCCTGATGGACAGTGCACTGTCAATAAATTCTTGCTAGATTAAATTGAATCAATGTTAGGGTGTTTATTTTGGCCTTCTGCCAGCCTCCTGCTTGCTTTATGATTCCTGGCAGTGTCCAAGGAAGGTGAGATCGCAGAAAGTTAGCCTAATGGAAGTGAGAGACTGTGAACAGAGCATCCTCTGAATGATTACCTTGGGTAAGAAATGAGGTGACTCTCACTCCGCAGAGGAGAGGAGAATGCCCTTGCCCGGATTACCTGAGGGCTGACGTTGCTGCCAAGTACGCACTCTGTGACAGGCCCATTTTAGCCTGAAAGCTCCACAGCATCCCGGTTTACACTGTAGTTTAACCAAGAACATTTTCCTTCTGTCAGTCTATTTTAGCTTTGGTTTAATTTTCACATGAAGTTTCTAAAACATGCCCATACAATGATGAAGTGACCTAGAACTTTTAGTAGGAGCAAGTTCAAGTCAGTGTAACAGTGTTTTCTGGTCCTGCTTATAGTAAAGGATATGCTTGTTCTTTATTGGCTGATATTTGTGTTTCATTGGAAAAGGATATAGATATGAAAAATCATTACCTATAGTCCCCGTTTTTCCTATTCAGGAACTGTATCTTCTGTTTTCTGTCAATTCTTTTTATGATTATGGGATTGAAAAGAATAAGGGCTTAGAAGCTAACATTGAAAGACAGTATTTATTCTCTCTAATCCTGACCTAAGAAGCCATGTAGCATAGAGGCTAGAATGGGAGAATGGGACCTGGGTTTGAACTTTAACCTAACTAATTAGCAGCTGGGGAACCTTGTCCATATCTCCTCAGCTTCTTTTTTTTAATTAAATTTATTGGGATGACATTGGTTAACAGCATTATGTAAGTGTCGAGTGTGATTCTGTGATGCATCATCTGTATATTGCATTGTGTGCTTACCACCCAAAGTCTCATCTCCCTCCATCAACATGTATTTGACCTCCTCTATCGTCTTCACCCTTTCCCCTAACTCCCTTCTCCTCTGGTAACCATCATACTGTTGTCTATGTTTGTTTGTTTGTTGCTTTCTGTTTTATATCCCACATATGAGTGAAATCATATGATTCTTATCCTTTTCCATCTGGCTTACTCTACTTAGCACGATACTATCAAGATCAATCCATGTTGTCGCAAATGATGGTATTTCATCCTTTTTTACAGCTGAGTAGTATTTTATTGTACATATGTAACACATCTTTGTTATCCAATCATCCATCAAGGGACACTTAGGTTGTATCCGTGATGTGGCTACCTGAATAACGCTGTAGTGAACATAGGGGTACTTACATCTTTAGGAATATGTTTTCAGATTTTTCAAGTAAATACCCAGAAGTCAGCTTCTTCTTAAGTAAATGTAATGAGGCCTATTTTCCAAACTCATGAAGAAAGTTAAAGACTGTAACACATATAATATTAATGTTCAAAAAGCTCTTTTAAGTTAGTTTTACAGACTCCTTCCACCCTTTTTTCCATAATTGGCCTTATTAACAAACTAGCAAATTACCTTGTTTAATGTTTTAAATCTTTTAGATTCAGGACTCTATTTTTTAGGTGTGCCAGGAAAATGACCCACATTTCTCACTTTTTCTTTCTAAGAAGATAAACAGTAGACTTGACTTAGCCCTTGCTTCATTTAAGCAAGGTTACCTGAAAGCCTTTTCCTATCACACGTATGTGTCTGGTATGTGCATGCCTTTTGAGCAACACAGAGAAATCCTTAGTAGGTGATTTGAGACTTACCTTACATTTCACTCTAGGCAGCATGCCCCATTCCTTGTTTTATGGAAAAATATGCTTCCTCCAGTATCTACATAAGAATTTCATGTTGACTATTTATATTAAGCCCAGTGGTCTTATTTCTCCCTTAGTTACCTGTTTTATGAGGTGGTAAGGACATCTTCTGTTCTTGTTAAGTAGGAAATTAAACTAAAGGTATTTTAAAGGAAGCTTTATGTGCTATAATCAAAATCAACTAATTGCAGGCATCTTAACCAGGAAGGCACCTTGGAATATGCTGATTTATCTGTCCTGGGAGCTCCTCTAATAGCAATGGAGCAGACGTGAGATCTTTTTACTGGCTAGCCTTGTCATCTGAGAGCAAGTCACTTTAATTCTCTGGGCCTCAGTTTTCTCATCTGTAAAGTGAGGAGATTGGATTAAATAAACCTATAAGAGTCCTGCCAGCATGAAAATTCTGTGATTGGTGAACCTCACAAAGTTGTACCTGCATTCTATGATTTGTGTTATGTGGATACTGCCAGACTATTGCTTGTTCCTTTTTTTTTTTTAATCACTGAAGAAGATTCTTGTCAAGCAAATTATAGAAGTAAGGTACAGAGGACTGTTTAACCTTTTAAATTTAATTAAGCCTTTTAATACTTAGTACCAAAGCACATGAAATCTGCTTATTACAACAGTCTTTTTTCTGAATTTAGGATCACATTTTTTTAGCCATTTCTTTTGGTTATTGAAAACAAATACTGCTTTATTTCTTTACAATAAAATTTTCCAATCTGCATTTTTGCCAGTTTGGCAGTTTTTCTACAATTTTTGATTACACTCTCATTGAGACTAACAGATCTTAATATTAAGCAATAATAATAACAAAATTTACTTCTTTGTGAATAGTGTCAGAAACAGCTAAATGGTCATTGTGTTTGGAATTTGTTATGTCTTCTAGAAATAAATTCATGTCAGACTTGAATTAACATCAGTTGGGTAGACTTTCAAACATAAGCTTTTTGATTTTCAGTCTGTATGAGAGGTCTCTTGAGGTCTCTGGACTGGCCCTCCCTATTCCACCTTCACCAGCAGCGAGCTAGGTGTCAGCCCAGCAGCTCATGAGGACATTGAAACTCTAGAAGGATATAAACAGAATAGACTTTATGGAAACAATAAGAGATGTCAGAATATCCAACCAATTGATTAGTCCACTTGACAGACCAGTTATAATTGTAGTCTGAAAATAACTCCCATGAATACAGTCACTTTTCTATGAAAGAGAACAAAGAGGTATATAAAAAAAAAAGTACAGGCACAAACTGGATATGGTAACATTG